CTGCCATACGCCTGCACCTTCCTTCGAGTCTCCGCATCCATCCCACGTTCCATGTCTCCCAGATAAAACCAGTTGTCTCTAGCCCTTTGTGCCCTCCATCCGACTCCCCTCCACCCACCCTGGACGTCGATGGACGTTGATGGACATCCTGCCTTCACCGTCCGCCGGATCGTCTCTGTTAAACCCATCATGACACAAACTGCTGCCTCTACAACAGTGGTTCCATAGCTCTAGGGGGCCATAGCTGGCCGTCCCGTCTTGGTTATTGAGCTCTTTAAGCAGCTGTTCTCACACTGATTCCACTCTGCTCCTGATTGACTTCAGCAAAGCAGTTTTACCATACTGTACCTCTGTTGTTGTAATTTGTCCCCCGGTTTTGGGCACTGTGACCAAAACGGACATGGAACAAGCGCAGAAGAGAAATGCGAGTCCACTCAGGAAAAAAAACACATCAAAAAAGCAACAACCAGCACTTGAAATCGGTCATCATCTTACTGTATTGACTGGTTGCCAGTGTAAGCCTAGTTGACACAGATGATTATAAAAAATGTTGCATTATATTAGTCCGTATAGGATTGTATACTGTATAGGCTTGCCGCTGTCACATTGGAATGACAATCTCTACTGTCAGTACTGTAGTTTGTCAGCTCTGCGCTGCCGTAGTACAAAGATATCTGCCTCTAAAAACAATAGATTCCCATGTAATATAAATAGCAATTTCTAAGGCAAGGTAGACATAAAGATGACTTTCATAGGTGATAATAAATAACATACCTATGGATGATATACATTATAACAATTCTGTTACTAAATCCTGTAATCCCTGTAATTATTACACATTGTACCTTTATCATGAAACACGTATTCTTTTTTTTTTTTTTACAGCTGATTACGTGTTATTGTCCTCCTGTGTTTGAGACTCTAGGACCACGTGCATGACTGAGAAGTTTGTTTTGACAAAATCTACAGTCCAACAAAGCCATGTAGGTTATCTACAAAAAGGAACCGCTTCTAAGCAGGGTGTCCAACCTGAGCAGTGGTTCACTACTGCAAGAAAATAATGGCTGTGTGTACTGTGTGCAGTTTGTATCAAACTAAAAATTAGGGGAAACACTTTTTTCTTCTGGGATTGTGACATTGATGTTTAATAAAACAAAAATAAAAAAAAATAAAAAGACTTACTACTTTCTATTTCATTAAATGTAACAGGGACATTGCATGTAAGGCTGTGAGCATCTCATCCAGGCAGGCAGAGAGCAGAGACACAGCTGCAGGTTGGATTCAAGGTCTGATTAGTGGCCCCACTAATGGGATGTAATCATTTTCTTACTTAATGAACATAATTTATTTTTAACCAAGACCACAACTGTACATGATCAGGGTTGTAGCTCCATCTGTCACACCCGAGTGGAAATTAATGTTGATTAAAATGAAGAAAAATGCCTATTTTGTGGTCTGTGCTGATGTTTAGAGTTAACTAGTAAGAGCATATCCTGCTCAAATAGCTGACTTTTTTAGAAAGATTTTCAGTTGGATAAGATTAATCTTCATAGAGAGCAAAGCTATTCCGTTGCTTTTGTAATTCTTTGTTCAGAGAATATCACTTGTAGCTGTAGGCACTGCTTCAAAGAAGTTCAAGTGAATGTTCTTGCCAAAGGTACTTGTTTATGGCTTTAATATATTCCTAGTTTGTCTCAGGCTTTTCCTGGGTGTGAGGGACCGAGCCAAAAAATGAGAGAAGCATAAAGAAGTCTTTGAGGAAAAAAGGGTAAAAAATTTATCTAGCAGAAAAAAAGTTCAAATTTCTAACAAAACTGGGCCCATAAAGGAAAACAAAGGAAAAAAATCCACATAATCCAAACCTGACCCAGGAACACACACCTCCCAATGTGAAGCACAAGAAAAACATATATACACTGGTTGATTAGACCGGTTTGACACAAGAGGGGAACATAAAAGACATTTACCTAAACACATCTCCAACAAAAGACCAAACTAATCAGCACAATACTAAGTCTATGAGGAAGAGGACTTAAATAATTAGACTTCTTAAATTGAATTACAGAAAACAAAGCCAAATAGAAAACAACTAAACCCTTCCTACACCCCTTCTAGAAGTATGTGGAAAAGTCCTTCTAGGTCTCCATGTCATTGTGGAGATACTTTGCCGCTGGGGCCTCCTTTCCTTTACTGGCCTCACCCACATGACAGCCTCCCAGGAACTGGCAACCAAAATGAGAAATATATGAATCTACAGCAAACCAAAAAAGCAAGAAATGACTAAATGATATTGATGGTGTGATGAAGCCTCATGAGGCATTTGAACCGTTTGGCCAAATTGCTTCAACGATCCCCACAATTCGTGAGGTTTCATGTGAAAATGTCACCACTTATTGGTGGAGTGCAGAACTACAGTTAGTAGTATGATCTGTAATATTTTTGCTAATGTTTTTCTTGTTTGTTTGTTTTTTTCTTTCCCGTTTAAGTTTAAGTGAAATTGTTAATGTGTGTATGGTAAAATCTTTTGTAAGTTCTTTTTTTTTTTCTATAAAATGTCTTAGAAGAAAACAATAATTTTAGGTACACAGTTTTTCTGCCATTTTGGTGAAATAAGCTCAAGCAGGCAGGGAAAGTGCTTGTTCAAATTGTGCAATGATGAGCAAAATGTAAAGTGTTAGTATTTTTTTATTCAAACATTACAGGTTTTTTTTAAGTTTTTTTGGTTTTAATTGGGTTGGAAGTTATGTGTTCAACCAGTCTTTAGCCTAAACCAGACAATCTAATTAGGAAGTGGTTTTACCCAATCTATATTCTTACTAGGGCAAACCTATACAAATTAGTCACATTAGCCAAAATACTTACGTATGATCACAACTTTCAAATCTCTAATGTGGGTCTGAAACCATTAATCTCAGGAGTGAAAGTCAATGTCTTACAGCTGACACCACCAACATTGATATCTTCAAGAGACAGCAATAGTACTTAACACTAAAGTTACAACTGTTTTCAGTAGCTTGCTGAGATTTTGATCATTACATTGTTTAATCTAACTAAAATAGTTTTAACCAACTAGATTGGTTGTTTTTCCAACCATTCCATTCTAAGAATCTCTTCAAACTCTATCCAACTGACAGCAACTCTCCTACAATCTCCCACATCTTGACTGAGTCCTGAGGATGTTTAAATGCCTGTCGAAGTTCTTGCGCTTCCTGAGCCACTTCCCGAAGCGGTCAAATGGTATAAAGGTGGCGAGGCTTTGGACGTCATCAATTGTGGCCCCTCCCCTACATGAATCATGCCTTGATACGTGCTTCAGGGAAAAGCCCCCTATATTACTCGACACATGCCTGGAAGCCTCGGCTCATCTCATAACATCAATACTAAGTCAACTAAGTGAGTGCACCCAAATAGTTCACCAATGCCAAATCAAAGTAAAAAAAAGTGAAATACAGTACAGTAAAATATAAGAGATTTATTTGAATAAAAAAGTTACCAGACCGTTTGTTGTGTGGTTGCACATGTGGCCATCACACTCGGAATAAGTGCAGCCTACTTAGATAAAAACAGTACCTTGTGCCTGAACACCAAAGCTGACTACTAAGACCAATTCAAAAGTCTGATATGTGCTAACTCACTGCAACTGAATATTAATCCCACCAGGCCTAATATTTTGAGAAATTATCACCCAAGGACCAACTTAAGACCTCAGAGCATACAAGGTTTCTTTTTTGTATTTTGTCCCAAACTGTTTGTTGGATTGCTGCAGGGACCAAATGTAATTATTAATTATTTTGGCAAAAAAAAATCAGAGCTCAGTGTGTGTTTGTTGCTTTACAAGGCTCCTGTGTTGCTGTTAATCCTCTTGCCTTTAATTAACACAAAAAATCATTAATGTCTCCTTTTTTATCTTTATTATCGTGACTTAAATCCCTTTAGCGCCTGCGAAGCATGCCTAATCGTAAGAAAATGGGTTATGATACGTCTTATTTTGGCTTGTTTTCTGAGTTGCAGCAACAGCTGAATAAACTTAAATGGGGCTTACATTCCTCTGCTGTTTCAAGGTGAAGTATTATCCTTAGCAAGTAGAATTTTATTACAGTGACTAATTTGAGCATAATTCTTGTTAAATACTAGAAAGAAAAATGATTTCAAGCAGGTGATTCGTCTGCATTGGAACCATTTTGTTTTTACTCTGGAAAACGTAGATTGTTGTGATCACAGAATAAGACCATCATCTGACGAGAGCTTATACATTAATGTTAGTTGATTCTTTAAACATTTTGTAATACTATAGATAACAGATTAGACTCTGACTCCCCTATTTTAAAATCTTCAAGTTTCTATTGAGTATACTTGCATATATTCTTAGTTTTTGCTCATTTCTGGAACACATAACCTAGCTCTCCTACAAGGCTGATGCTTTTGTACTTTCAGATATAAAGTCATATTATTCTCTGACTCTAATCTAGCTTGACAATAAATTAGAAACCATGTTTTAGAGGGCTATCTCAAGCTTTTGATGCAGCTTCTTTGTGACATTCAGACAGAAACCTACACCACACAAACACAAGTCCCACAGATTACAAAGGCCATTTCTATGTATTTGAAATCTAATATGGTTTACTGGCACAGGAGAAAACTAGTGGGCATTTTGTTATTTAACCTCCTTCCTGTTAGTTATCTCGGCTGAAAACACAAATATTGTAACATCCTATAGATATCACAACTGGATTATGGCTCATATCTTTAGATATATTTTTTTTCAATTTATAACTAGCTTAGTGCTTCGATGTTCTCTTTATTATTTTCTTTTATATTGAAAGTGTTCCTAGATCCGCACTTCTGTTTTCATCTGTCTGTTCTGTATCCTCAAAGTCAAGTTAGTTGTAGCAGATGGCACCTTACGAATCGCCAGGTTCACTGCTGCTATAAGCCCTATCAAGAAGTTTGTTGATGCAGTTAGATAAAATTCTTTACATTGAAAACTGTTAAACCTATTAAATCCATGTATCATTCGTTCTTTCATTTTTCAAATCAAAACCTAAAATTAAAAATGCAAAAATACACTCGTTTTCTCACTATTTGTTTCCAAAACAAAAAGGAAAAAACAGATAAAGAGCCGTTTTCTGAATGATACACAGATTCTATTAGAATAATAAACAAAAGTGTTGCTTTACAACTGGGATCA